ACATCTCACACTCGACCCCAAGCCTGGACGTGCTGAAGCTTAGGCTGAGCAATGCCATGAACAGAACTCCATTTCTGAGTGGAAGGATAATTTCAGAGGTCTTTCCAACCCTCAAAGCGAGACTGGCTTTAACGAGCCCTTTTAAGCACTAACATGCATTCAGCAGCAGCTAACTGCTACGCTATATTCTCTCCAGGAGGCATGCGGCCACCGGTCTAACTCTTAAGATGCCTCTGGGCCACCTTACCGGCTCCCACCTCTTCTATCCTTCTTGGAACCTGCAGTCACCACCCCCCCACTTCTCCACGCAGGCTGAGAACTCGGTTCGCCCAGGTATTTGGCAAAGGAGGCTTTTTGTACACATACCCATCTCTGCTGTCAGCATTTATGTGGGGTAGGGGGGCTGGGGCATCTGGGTACAGTCCTTGGCACCAAGTTGTCTGCCACCCACCCCATGCCGACCCCAGACAGAGCTTGCCAATCCGCTCTCCACACTGTGACCGGCAAAGCAATGACGCCAGGGCTGTGAGGATAAAATCCGGACGTGGGGGAGGGGCGGCCTCATTCCCTAGAATGGCCAAAGGAACTGCAGATGTGCTTAATGACCTTGAACCAGAGACTTCACTCTACTGCACCCGCCTTGCCTCCTCAGGGTCTGGGAAGCAGAGACCAGAGGGTCCTGGGGACCGAGAGCAGGCCCACGGTCACTTAGCGGATTCCGCCCAAAATGAAATCAGGCCCAAGTCTAAGTGACCTCCTCTAGGCCGTGATAATCAAAACGTTTCTCTTTGCGCATGTTTTAATATTCAAGGTTTTCAATTCTTTTTAAAAAATGTTTACTTATTTATTTTGAGAGAGAGAGCACGTGAGTGGAGCAGAGAGAGGGAGGGAGAGAGAGAGAGAATCCCAAGCAGGCTGGCTGCACACTTCCAGAGCAGAGTCCAGTTCGGGGCTTGATCCCACAAACATGAGATCATGACCTGAGCCGAGATCAAGAGTCGCACGCTTAACCAACCGAGGCACCCAGGCGCCCCTAAGGTTTTCGATCCTAACGGAAACAGTAACAAAGACAAAATACAATCGCGATTCTGTGCACTAAGGAATTTGGGCAGCTCCCACGTACGTGAAAGGTTGGTAGTGAGAGTACGTGGCTTTTATTTCACTCTCTGTTATATCATCTTGTTTGCTTTCTCCCTGAATGTTTCCCGGATGAAGATCACTGTTGATGGTCCAAAATATACAATTGATTTATTGTTTATCAACTTCAAGGATTAAGTGCGAGTCACTGTAGGGCAAACATCTCTCACCACAGAGCCAGTCCTGGCAACTCAGTGACGAACAAACCCCGTGGCCCTTGCCTTGGAGGAGAGGCGGTAGACAGGTGATCAGCAATGATGTAGTTTGGGGCCCTAGGGAGGTCAGGGAAAGCTTTCCAGAGGAGGCGACCCTTGAGGCAAAGAAATAGGTTTCAGTCAGCAAGAGCCTGAGGACCCTTCACTCCTACAGATCTTTTCTGCCAATGCAGTCAGTTTTTCCGTTTTTTAGCGTCTCAAACTGCTTTCCAGAGCTAGTGAGGGACAGGGATAATTCCCTTCCAATTTACAAGGAGGGAAATCAGACAGTGGCTAAGGGACCATCCAAGGTTTTTCTGTAAAATTTAAGAGTGACCACAGGGTGCCCAGCTAGGGTTAGATACCTGAATACTCGACACAGGAAATATAGGACAGCCTCTGCCCTTGGGGAACTTGTTATCGCTGGGAGATAAGATATGTAAATGAAAAGCCAAAAATAATTGTTAAAGGCAACGTGCAAATAACTCAGTTCCCCTTCTGTTTATCCAGGACTCGCTATCTGAAAGGCATTCAGTGAGGCACCTGGGTGGAGGTGGGGAGAGTCAAAAATATAGGTAAATATGTCCCAGGCCCTTAAGAACTCACCGTTTCACTGGCTGCAAGGGAGGCTGGGTGACAGGAAGAGGAACCTAGCAATCCATGGATACAGCTGTGAAGATTGTAGGGGCAAGAAGTCAATCAGGGGCTGGCTAGAATTTAGGGGTTGGATAGAATTTGTCCAGAAAAGGTTCCTGAAGGAGGTGGACAGCGTGATGATACTGGAAAACAGGAGACAGAGAAGAAAAAGTAGAGAGAAGAAGAAAAATCTTTTCACACACCCATCCTTCCACATTTAGTTCAGTAATGAAGCCCTCCCTGGGCAAAATGGGATACTGCCCCAGGCTCTCGAAGCATCCCCATTACAGAGCCGCGTTGCTTCACCTGTTTCCCTGCCTGCTAGTCCCAGCTCCAGGGCTCTGCCCGAAAGAAAGAGAGGAACGCCCGGGTGGCTCAGCCGGTGAAGTGTCAGATTCTTGGTTTCAGCTCAGGTCATGATCTCACAGTGCATTTTGTGGGATGATGCTGAGCCCCAAGTTGGCACAGAGCCTGCTTGGGATTCCCTCTCTTCCTCTCTATCTGCTTCTCCCCTGTGTGCTCTCTCTCTCTCTCTCCCTCAAAATAAATAATAAACTTTAAAAAAATTAAAAAAAAGAAAGAAAGGGCGAAATAAACGAAGGAAGGAAGGCTTGACTCTAAGGGGGTTGGGTATTCACAGTAAAATGCCTCACTTTGTTTTTGTTTACTTATTTTTACTTTCCACTATTTTGTCCAACTGTAACTTACAGTAAAAGACACAAATCATAAGCATGCGTATGTTTGTACAAGAATGAATATTTACATATGTTTATAGCTGTGTAACCACCACCCGGATCAAGCTATAGAATGCCTCTAGCACCCCAGACACTATGGGCTGCCTCACGGTGCACTGTACCAGGGTCACGGCTACTGTGGCTGGAGGATGTGCCCCAGTAGGGTGATAGATCTGGGGAGTACCATCTATAGAAATCATGAAAGAATTTTAGGTGTTTGGGCTGGAGAAGCCAAGTGCTGGGGCCAGGTGGTGTGTGTGAAGGGCTAACATGCGCGGAGCAATTAGACTTGTCCCGTGGGTGGCGGTGGGGAGTCACCGGGAGGGGCATTTCAGTGGGGCATGAAACCCTTCCTAACTGGAGCTGACCCACGTTGGAAGCAGACCCCCAGGAGATGATAGGTAAGGTCCTCAACAGTAAGAGGTATCAGCCAAGAACAGGACTGACGAGCATTTATCAGCAACTATGGGGAGAGGATAGGGGACTCGATTTGGAGATTGTTCTTTCCAACTCGGAGCTTCTGTGGTTCTGGAATTCTGTGAAAATGGCAGAGAGGACCCAACCAAATGCTTGTGGTTATGATTCATTTCTTTTTTTTCCTAGAGGAGATCTTTTTACTGAACCACAAATACTGTGTAGACCCTCCATTATCACTACTGAATAAATAACTCTTACTACCTACCAACCCACTGAGCCAGAGAGGCCCTGGGGCTCTGCTCCCATGTGCTCAGAGGAGAGGAGGGATGGTGCCTCTGTGAGATGAAGCCAGCCCTGCAAGAAAAGTGGATTGCCCCCTCCTCATGCCAGGTTGTCAGGAGAGAACTCCCTCCCCGCCCCCCAACCTCCTCAGCCCTTTCAGCTCTGGTCCCCCTCGAGGGCCAAGTGGGCATGATGTCGTGGTTCCTGCCCCCACCAGCAGAAGTGACACTCTGGACCTTACTGCTCCGCCTCCGGGGCCAATGCAGGAACCCTGGCTCCCTCAGAAGCAGGACCACACAGGACTCGCCAGTTCTATAGCCACCTGGGGGGAGGGACAGCCTGTGTCAGCCCAGCCACAGGCTCCTCCAAGGACTACTGGTCTGGAGAGTGACACCTCTCACCCCACTCCCCCATCCGTTTTTTTTCCAGCAAAAAAGGAATTCTCCCCCAGGACCCTTTTTACCCCTGGAGGATTACTTCCCAACTCCTCTTGGGACTCCTCCAGATCGCTGCCCACCCCCGCCCCCCACTAGGAAGAAGGCGAGAAGTGGAGTTTGGAGAGAACACCTTCATCTGCCTCCTTCCTGCACCCGTCCAGCGCGCAGAGATGCGGCCGGGGAAGACCAGCTCTCAGGCGGAGCTTCGGGTGCAGATCGGATAGTTCCAAGGTCTTCTGTCTAAAATGCTCATCCTCTCGAGGGTCCAATGAAAGCCATGAATACTCTCCCAAAGGGGAAAAAAAATGTATGTAGGAGATTTTATCTTCTATTCTGGGGGCCGATGGGGGCGCTGTCAGACCCTTGAAGTGCATCTGTGAAGCACCTAGGTGTAGGGGGGCGCTGTGCTGGGGGGGGGGGTTCCTCCACCGCAAAACCCAGGCCAGGTTGGGGGTGCGGGGTAGGGTGGGGATTGTAGCTCCCCAAGCCTAGGCGAAGCGCTGGAAGGTCCCGCTCTCCAGCCTCTCCGAGCGTCCGGGACGTCTCTCGGGCTCAGTTTGCCCAGCTCTGCAATGGGCGCGCGGGCCCCTCCGCCCCCGCGGGGCTGTGCACGGACGCGGGTGGGACGGACAGCTGGAGAGGGGGTGGGGGCGAAGCGCTGCAGGCGGTCGGTCTCCTGCAGCCGGGGAGGGTGAGCGTGCGTTCGGGAAGCAGGGGGAGGCCGGCGCCCGGCCGCGCGCGAGGAGGGCGCGGGCCC